AGCTCGGCCAGTTGTCGAAGCTAAAAGGAGTTGTAATTCTTGATAAACAACCCTCTGCCAATCTTATGAAAAACAAGGAAATCCTCATGGTCCAAAAACATTTCGAGAACGTGTGCCACTCTTCAGCAGCAAGCTTTGGACCACCCTCTCCCGACAGGGTCCAAAGCTTTTCGCCCAACAATGACGGCCAATGGATGCAGGCGCCGATTTTTCGATCGAAGGTCAAGTGCATGCATAGTGTTACGTGTCGTTCGGCGTCGGGAGGCAGCAGTTGCACGCGTCCATCACCGCTGCCACGACCGGGCACACAACCACGCTGCCAACAGCTATCAGCACAAACGCTACGCTGAATAGCACCATGTTCGTTTTGCTGAAATGGACAGGTGCAGCACGGGAAGACGGGGGTAGCGAGATAAGAATCACGCGCCACAGTAGGCGAAGACATGGCGAGTACAGGTTTTCACTAATATCTACAACATGTATGTGGACAGGAGCACGCAACAGCGTAGTAGTCTAACCCGCATGTTATTGGACTACAAATTACCCTGTCCACAAACAATTCCGACCGCGACAGTCATTGTCTGTGAAGTTCGCCGTCGGGATATCCACCAAATCTATCAAAGCGCATGAGCCAGCATTGAGATCGCGGTATTCCGGCGGGGACGAAGACTTTAGGGGTATTCGAGGGAGCAAGGCTTAAACGTATGCATGCCAGCCGAAAGAGATGTCCCGAGAAACGAAGAAAAAGTGTACACCTGCCTCTACCGCGTGTGTAATTAACCCGGGCCTGAAATGACAATTGGCACCGCCCTACCCACCCGTGCGTTCCGGAGTCTAAGGGAGATGCCCCTGGGCCATGCGTTTGCGTCTAGGATACGAGAAAGCGGGTTTCGTTGGCTTGGTTGCTTAACCAAGTGGTGAAGCTGAGCAATGGGCACCACACGGATGTGCCGGCTGTGGATCCAACATCATCAGCGACGGCTCTCGCCCGACTCGTTTACCGCGCACGCCCGATGCAGTGCTACAAGATGATGCGTAGACGAAGAAGAACATGGCTTCCACACATCTGCTGCTACCTCTATGCGTCACTCCCTCTGAGATCTGCACGTTATTCGCGTCGAATCATCGGGATCGGATCCCGCCTGCCAACAATTCTTTCACATGAACACGTTGCATGCCATGGACGCCCCTCACATCCCTGGGTCTTGCGTTGACACCCGAAGGTGTTGATTTCCCACCCGAAAACAGTCTCGTTACTACCAGCGGAGGGCCAGAGGGCTCGAGTTTGTCACGTGATGATGTTGTTTTGTGAGCTGGTATCGTTTGTGTGCGTGGAGAGAGCCAAAGGGCGCGCGGGAGCCTTGACCGAAAAAAATATCTTGATAAGTGCAACATTCTCCGGAGATGCAGCACTACCATTTCGGCCAAATTCAAACCAGCCAATCAAATCGTCACTACAGAGGTTGTCGCGTGTCTTGCATCTTGTGCATCAACCTCCACCACACACCACCCTCCACGCCACCTCCATACGCATTGCCAGCCCTAGCTCACGACTACTCTTTCTCCGGCGGATGTCCGAGCTGAAGTCAAGAGCGTACCCGAAACCAGTACACAGCATGTATGGTCTAAAGTCTGTAGCTTGCTGTTTTGGGCGAACACCTCGCTTCGATAAGTCTCTTCCGTTTGCCCCCCTGCAAAAACGAATAGTATGCATGCAAGCTCCTGAACGTGCTTTTGCGTACTGGTACGCCGTTGCTGTGTTTGAGAGGTGCATCGATCGGTAATTTGAAGGGCCGGGAAGTAGTATTTTTTTTCTTTGTTCTCAGCGTACTATCGCTCTCCTTTCACGGAACTTTTTTTTTTTTCTCCCATCATTGGACTCTGTCGTCTGCCCCTCTGGCCCCTATCCTCCACGTCTACTAACTAGACGACCCAACTGGGGTCACACAGGAGGGGGGGGTTGGACCCCTTCCTGCGGTTCCTGCCTGAGATATTTTTATCGCGAGAAGGGTACAGCAATCCCTTCCCTCGCGACTTGCGAAGTCGATTATGGTTTACTAACAACGAACTTTGCAGCGCGTCGCTCTCATCCCAGACCAGGATTTATTTAGTGGGAAAAACCCCACTCTGCCGGCACTCGAACCCATGACCTGACCCTTAGCAGGCTGCGAGGGTACCCACTAGACCACCGGGGCGACCGGACATGTATCCGGTCAGTCGACTGTCGGAGCGGGGTATGTTACGGTAGTAGTCAAAACTTGGAATTTTCAGTCTTGAGTGCCCGGGATTAAGGTACGGTCAAAATGCTGAGCTGATGTGGCGTTCATGTCCTTGCATGTACAGCTGATATGCATATATTGCGAAGTACGCAGAGCGTGAGAATGGACAAGCTGAAGGTCTCAATAGCCCCAATTCGATCAGTGAGAAGAGGAGTGCACGTAGCTTTTTCCACAAATCATATGGGCACGCTGATACTGCTTCCAACGTTAGGACCATCCCCGCCGACATGCATGCATGCCTGCTGACACCACTTTTATCTGTTTGGCGAATAACGAAGAAAACAAAACGGTGCTCGGGTGCGTCTCGAGCAAAAACAGGTAAACAGTGTTTTTCGTCACTCTTTTGGAAAAAAAACTCTGCAAATCTTTTCCGTACCCTACCCTCAACCACGCCACAGAGAATTTCCGACCCAGAAGGTGCGGTGATGCTTCGTGACCGAATCGCTCCGTCGCCACCGGCCCTTGCTAGCCGCTGGATCGAAGAACATGCAGCACTACTACACCGCCGCCGTCGCGTGTGACCCCGCAAAGAACCAATCGCCATTCATTCGGCGTCGCCCTTCCTCCTCCACCAAGTAAAAGTCGTCGTGAGACACAACAGGGAGGAGGAGAGCTTTGTGCCCGAGCGATTGGTTCTAGTGCTGGTCCCGGTGCATGCAGTGGGTAGCCGCGCTGATGCTCTTTGGACCCACCGACGATCTCTATGCTACAATCTTCTCCACCCCCTCCCCCCACTGTCTGTACCATCCCGGACAACAACCGCTCTACCTCATGTCATCGCTCTACTCCCGACCGCGCGGTCCACCTCCCACGCGAGTATCACATAACTCCGTGTGTTCCCATGAATTGGCAAATATGAAAACATTTTTCGGGCGCACTGCTGCGGCCAATGACATACGAAGCACGAAACACATACCCTTGTCTATGCTCCCGGCATGCCTCAATCGGACACGAGGCGGCCGAGAGTAACCTTGAGCACACAGCACATACCATGACATGGCCATCCCATAGAATCGTGAGATAGCAATAGTTCTCTTCACTCGCTAGCCAAAATCGCACTACCCAAACACCTGCCTCCTGTCTCCAATCCGCCAATGCCATGCCAAACAACAGGTACATCTACCCCAGCCTCTAAGCCGTCAACGCTATGCCATGGAAAAGGTACATCTGCCACACCCCCGAAGCCGTCAATGCTATGCCATAGAAAAGGTACATCTGCCACACCCCCGAAGCCGTCAATGTTGTGCCATAGAATAGGGACGATGTGCTCGACGCCCACCTCAACACCTCCACCGCATCTTTACGGTACCCCTCTTCTCGGCGCTTAACCGCCCCTCCTCTAACCTGCTACCACAAATAGCACGATTCGCCCTTTTGTGGGTGAAGCGTCTAGTTCCGCGGTTGCTACTGCTGCTATTGCTGCTGCTGTTGCTGGGGCCGCCTCAACTGTGGTATCTTCTCAGAGAACCGTTCCGAGCTCTGTTGAGTACTTGTAACACCGGTACGGGTCTAAGGGACGGGACGCCTTCCGTTGTTACCGGTAGATTCTGCTGCGCAGGGATTCAAGTGGGTTATTCTGTTCTGGCGGAGAGAAACAGCAACTTCTCTCAAACGCCTTAACCATTCCCAACGCCCCAAGCGGACTGCGGCAAACCGTTAACGCAGGCACGGCTATTCTAGCGCCCCGGAGAAAAACAATCTGTCATCACCAATTTAGTAGGAGGCTTCCCCTGTAATCTATACGTACCAATCACCCGAACAACACAACACGGGCAGTTTGTTGCCACTCGAACAAACACAAGAGAAGCATCTTGAAGAAGGTTACAAGAGTTCTACAACAGCAGAACGTCGCTTGAACGGGAGCCTTGTCGAGGGGGTCAGTCTGGCGAGACGAACAGGGAGTACCACATGCGACACAAGAAAACACCCCCCCCACACATAACACAGCACCAAACCCGGTGGTGATACTTGTACCGGTCAACATGAGACCGAAAAAAAAATCACTCCAAGATCGCGTAGGGCGGCACAACATACTACACGCCTCCACACAACAATGCACCCGGCGACCAATCACTAGAAGCCAAGATTATAGACATCATCGTATGCATAAAAGGCATCGGCAACGGCGCCATTTCTGACTTGAGCGTAACAGAAAATCCACCAACCCGGAACACCGCTGTTATCAAAACTACGGCGACGACGAGGCATTATTTCGATCGATCATCACCGCAAAACAGCAGAAAAGCAAGCAGGCTGGGCTTCTTCGGTCGTCGCCAAAAAAAAAAGAAAAAAAAGAACGGTATGCTCACGCGGGCGCTTGCACCTGCGCTTCGAAGTCGCACACTCACCACAGCGCTACGCACGCAGGTGTACACAAACTAGACAGAACAACCTCACAAGCCTTCCCCCTGGTTTTATCTTTGACACAATACCCGACCCGAACGCCCTGCCCGAGCAACCAGAGCATCTCTCCCTCACCCCAAGCAGCCAAAAGCCGCCTCTCCGCAAGCTGAGATCCCGGGAAAATAAAAAATTCTGGAAAATTTCCTCCTCCTCCACAAAAATCTCTTTTCACACGCGAAAAAAAGAAAATACAACGATGTCGATGATTAAGGGCTGTCCCAAAACCAAGAAAAATCCTGGAAAAAATCCTTCCTCTTTCTTCCTCAAAAAGCCCTGTTGTTTCACACACACAGAAAAAAAAAAGAGATTCAAGGGGCTGTCTCAAAACCAAGACCAGACTTGGGCGATCAAAAGGGGCGGCCTCAAAATCAAGACCAAACGTCCAGGACGTAACGCTTCTTTTCCTTCATCATGCGCAGCGTGGCCTCAGCCTCCTTCTCCCCGTCCACCCCGGCACCCCCGTGCTCCACCAACGCCTCGACGAGGGCGCGATGGACCCCCTGCGCCATGGCGTTACCGTCACCGCAGACGTAGACGTAGGCTCCCTGTTCGAGCATCAGCCGGCTCAGCTCCGCACCGTGCTCTCTGATGCGGTGCTGGGGAACCGGAATACGGGGCGGGATGGGATGAAAACGTTTAGATCGACGGGATGAACATAACCGTACCACATTCCATGTATCGGCATACACCGACGCGATAGAGGCACAGGTATCAGAGAGAAAAGAAGGGGGAGGGAGAGACACGCACACAAACAGACAGAAAAATAAACAGAGACAGAGAGACAGATAGACAGAAAAATAGACAGACAGAGCGACAAAGAGACAGAGACAGAGAGACAGAGAGACAGACAGACAGACAGACAGACAGACAGAAAAATAGACAAACAGACAAAAGAGACGCCACGGAGTAACTAGAAATCTCGCGGTTCGGGTTGTCTCACCTGCACGTACACCTTCTCCGAGGCATCTCTGGAGAAGGCCGTGGATAGCTTAGACAAGGTGCCTCTCTCGAGGAAGCCTTCCATCTCCCGCCGGAAGATCCAGTCCTGGGACTCGTTGCGGCAGCCGAAGAACAGCCACATGTCCCCGCGCCCTTCCCGTCCACGGTACGCCGCGGTCTGGATGGACAAGCGTTGATACCATGTGATGCAAGCGTAAATACCACGTGATGCACACCGTGAGTAGATACTCGTGGCGATTCCGACAGCATCAGACATTGGCGGAAGCGGTAGCAGCAGCAACAGTTGTGATGGTGGCGGTACACAAAAGTGTAGCAGTAGAGTAGTCGTATTAGCACGCTGATAATTGTCTCGGAGTGCGTGGAGGGATACGGGCACGGAGCGACAGGCAAGGGACAAAACATATCTCTTCTGCTCCTTTCAGCTTGTTGCTTTTCCTCAATTCATTTCTTATTTTATTATTTCGTCGTCGTCCTCCCCTCAGCCTAATGTTTATTGCACTCGATCTTTATTTTTTCCTCCTCCTACCTTTGAGAATATTTTGCCACAATATTTCTGTGTATTTTTATTACCGCGCATACTCCCTTCAGCGTATATATTTTTGCGCTCATGTGAGTCTCTGGCCTTGCTGCCATGTACGTTCCACTCGAGGCCCTTTGTCCAACTGTCTCTCCGCTGGTTCTGCGGATCTTTCCGTGCGGTTTGCGCGCGTCTGCATGTCACTGTATGCGCATGCCCGTCCACCGCGCATACGTCTGTATGCCACTGTATGCACGTGCCCCGTCCACCGAGCAATCCGCAACCGCCCGGCTGGTTGTTTGTCCTCTCACGCCCGAGGAGTTTCCCCGGCAGCGTGTCAGCGCTGCTGTGCAACGTCAGCACGCCAGCGCAGACTGCTGTGCCTGTGTCACCACCTCGTCAGGTTGGTTCTGCGTCGTCAGCGTTGAGGAGCGGTGTGCTGTGCATACCCTTCTTCACCCCTCCACTGTCACTCTTCTTCCCCTCTCTTCCCAGAGACTCTTCCCAGAGACCACCATTGGCTCTTCCTGGAGAACTACTCCTGTCCCGCAAGTCAGTACATTCGCGGTCCCCAACACCGTCGCTTCGACAAGTCTCTGCTGGTCACACAGTCGAGAGAAGGATCAACCCCTTCCGTCGGTCTGAGATAGCTAATCTTTAACTTAATATTTCTTTTTTTTCCTCGTCATCCTCTCTTGAGTTTTTTTTGGTCATAATTTTCTGTTTTGATTTTTCTACTTCACCCTCCCCTTAGCGTCATTTCCTTCACTTCATCTTCTTTTTTTCACCTCGTCATCGTCCCTTCATTTTTTTTTGTCATAATTTTCTCTTTTGTTTTTTTCTTCCTCATCTTCGGGAAGTCTCCTCTGGTCACACAGTCGAGAGAAGGTTCAACCCCTTCCGTCGGTCTGAGATAGCTAACCTTTCAACTTAATATTTCTTTTTTTTTCCTCGTCATCCTCCCTTCAGTTGTTTTTTTCTCACAATTTTCTCTTTTGTTTTTCTCTACTTCACCCTCCCCTTCGCGTCATTTCCTTCACTTCATCTTTTTTTCACCTCGTCATCCTCCCTTCAGTTTTTTTTGTCAGAATCTTCTCGTTTATTTTTTCCTACCTCATCCTCCCCTTAACGCCATTTTCTTCACTTCCATCATTTTATTTTCACCTCGTCATCCTCCTTTCAGTGTTTTTTGTCATAATTTTGTTTTGTTTTTTCTACCTCATCCTCCCCTTAGCGTCATTTTTTTCACTTCCATCATTTTTTTCACCTCGTCATCCTCCCTTAAGTTTTTACTGTTATCATTTTGTTTTTTCTACCTCATCCTGCCGCGTCATTTTTTAACTTCATTATCTTTTTGTTATTCACCTCGTCATCTTCCCCCTCCAGAGAGATCTCGTAGCCCCCTCTCCAATAGCCCGAGCACACGGCGTCCGCCTCCTCCCTTCGCCGCGCGTGCTGTACCTCCCGGTGCTTCAGGAATCCGATGAATGGAGACACTCTGGTGGCGAGCGAGATTTGTTGTTGTTTTGTTTTAGGTAAAAGGCCGGGAGGGAGCGCGCAGAGGCAGGAGCATGAAACAATAAAAACTTGGACACAACAAAAAACGTAAAAGAAAAAAATCAACTAAATTAACATTTGACCCATTCCAGGTGCGCGGGCGGGAGGACGAAACAAAAAAAAAAAACTTGGACGCAAAAAAAAAAAGAACAGCAAAAATATAACGCCTTCCAGGTGGAGATAAGCACGCGCACAACACTCAGATATGAACTTCTATGTGTGTGACGAAGGCAAGACAAATGCTGTTGGCAGACGAAAATATATAGGCTGGAGGGGAGCCAGCAAACCAAGGGCACAGGTTGATTGACAATTCACGGGCGCAGGCTGGCAAACAAACACACGGCAGTCGTTTACCTAGGGAAAATAAAAGAACAAAAACATGAACAAAACGCAAACACACACCACACACTAAGTACCTGTCGGGGAAGACAAAAAAAAAAAACGCTTACCCAGTGCCGGGGCCGATGAGCACGCAAGGCCACTTCGCGCTGGCTGGCAGCAGGAACTCCTTCGTAGGCTTGAGGAACACGGGGACGCTGACAGACGTCCCCCCGTCGCCACTCCCGCTCGCCACTCGCCACTCCAGGAAGGGCGCGAGTATTCCCTCGAGCCAATTCGTGCACAGCCCTCGTCTAGTGACGACACCCCCACGGTCGCCGCCCCCGGTACCATCTACCGCCCCCCCTCCTCCTCCAGCCGGCGAGGCGGTAGCAGCAGCAGCAGCAGCACCGGGGTCGCCAGCAGCGGTAGCGGGAGCATGAGGCAGCCGCGAGGACGCGACGCTGAACGCGACCGTCACGCTATCCGGGGTGGCCAGCTGGGAGGAGGCAACCGAGTAGTAGCGCGGCGGCAGCGGCGGGAGGAGCGCCAGCAGAGCTCCCGGGCGAGGCTTGCAGGAGGGGAACGCCTCCAGGAGCTCGCAGAGGGTCAGCGACTGCGCCGCCACGTAGCTGGCGTACACTCCGGCTGTGGCGGCGGGCAGCGGCGGAAGCGGGAGAAATTGCATAAGAGTGTAAGCAACGGCAGCGGTAAAGCGGCGGCGGCAGCAGTTGGAATAGTAGCGACGGCAGCGATATGGCGGTAACAACAGGAACATCGGAAGCAGTGGTAACGTTACCAACGGGAGCGGTGAAGCGGTGGCGGCGGCAGTTGAGGTAGTAGCGACAGCAGCGGTACGGCGGTAACAACAGGAACAACGGGGACAGTGGTAACATTACCAACGGCAGCGGTAAGGCGTCAAAGCGACGGCAACGGTACAGCGGCGGCCGCAGCAGTTGGAGTAGTAGTAGCGACGGCAGAAGTACCAGCAAGGGCAGAAGCAGTCGTAGACAAAACAACGACAGATCGCACGTCAGCGGTGCTGCGAAAAACTACAACAAAATCAACAGCCACGACGAAAATATCCCCGACACATGACACAACAGCAGCGCTGTGACAACCGCAACACCAACGACAACAACAGTTACGACAAGCATGGCGACAACGACATAAACAAAAACAACCACAGCACCAACAACAACCGCGAAGACGACAACCACAACAAGCATGATCAGCAACAACGACGGCCTTCCAACTCCCCGGGCGCCTCCGCCGACACACATCCTCTGTGACCCCGTTTGTGTGGTCTAGCTGGTAAAAGTGGAGGATAGGGGCCAGAGGGGCAGACGACAGAGTCCAATGATGGGTGAAAAACAAACAAAAACAAAACATCTATATCTATCCATCTCACCGCCGGCAGTCTTGGAGCAGAGGAGCTCCATCCACGACCTCTCCGCGGGGTCCCCGCAGAATTCAGCTAGCGCGCGGAGCACCGGGCGGCGTAGGGGGGCCTGCAGATCGAGACGCGTCGACAGCGCATCCCGGAGAGTGCACGGGCTGGGCAGGGAGCGCAGCGAGTGCTGGAAGGGCACGTCCGGCCCGGCTCCCTCCGGCAGAGTGCACTGTGGTAGAAAACCGTGCGCGCGCGAAGGAGGGGGTACTCTTTATATGTAATGCATGCCTTACCGGTTAGGTCCATTGACCACGCGTCCTCGAGAGGACGGAGCACTGTCCCCACAGGACCGACACCGATGGCCAATCATTCCTCCCTGCTTTGCCAAAGGTGGCTCAAAAGTGGGGGGAGTCGCACTTATGTACAAGCGTGCCGCGGCGGTCGCTACTCGCGCTCGCCTGTGACGGCATGTGGAACTCTCTCAGGAGGCATGTACGTTGATGGAAGTTTCTGTGTTGCTTCCCGTAGTTCGTGTTTTGGCCGGTGAAAACGCACCGTACACAGTACGCGTGATTGTGTAAGGCGGGGCCTCAATCCTACTGTAGCCCGTTAACATATACCGCTGACAATCGGGTACTCTCTCTCTCTCTCTCTCTCTCTCTCTCTCTCTCTCTCTCTCTCT